AGATTGTGTGGAAAGTTTTATAATTGTGTCAGGTCTAAACTGGGGCAGGTTTCCCAAGTGAGGACTGAGTGTCCTGAGTATGAGGGGTACAGAGCTGGCACTTTGCAGAGCTTCCACTCTTGCTCTCCCTTTCAGAGATCAGGGGAGATGGAGCTGGGAAGATAGTTAATATCTCTAACTGCAGGAGCACAAAGGTACCAAGTCCCCTTATGCCCAGATACTAACATATGTTTTCTCAGCCTGATGTGCAGCAGGATTCTGATGAGGAGAGTGCAACTTACACCTGGGTGTAAGTTGGAGGGATTTTGGCACTTGGGATGTGTAGGGTTGCTATTACACTGCAGACTATGGACAGAAGCCTGCAAGCCTTCCTGATGTGGCTCTTTGTCTTTCCCAGCTTTGCCTATCCTGCCTCTGAGACCTTGCCTCCTTTTCCCCTCCTTGCAAGGACGTGGCTCTGCTCATGCACTTGTGTAAAGGCTCTTAGGGCACCTTGCTGCTCACTGCTGATCTGGGCACTTTCCTGACACACCGCACCCTTGGCATCCCTTCTGTTAGTACTGTTTCTTGCAAACAGGACTGGCTTTGGCTGTGCTAGAGTAGAGGCACCTGACATCTGCACTGGGGTGAATCCCGGGGTGTGGGTGTTGTGCTGGGCCATGGTAGCAGGAGTGGGATGATGGGGATGGATTGGGCCCCTCCTCTTCACACCTGGTAACTTTGCACCTGGTGTAAAGACCAGAACACAGGAGAAAAGTGGGTGTATTAGACTTACTCTGCCACTGCACTGAAGCATGAAAATTTGGTTTTAAGCCCCTCTTGCAGATGAGCTGTGTGAATGCAGTGCTCATTTTAGCCTGTATTCCTGCTCCTTTTAGCTGCTTCTGTGGCTAAGGTCACTGCTGGGAGCAGATCAGACTTGTTCTTAAATTAGGATGCTATAGTTCCGTACTGTGAGTGCTTTGTGGAGCGACTTCTGGGACAGCCCGTGACAGCATGTGCATTGTCTTTGTGTGGTTTGGTGCCCAGCATACATAACTGGGGCCTTTTCCATGCACAGAGGTTGCAGCAGCTCAGTTGGGAAATGTAAAGGGAAGGGTGACCAAGTTCTTTGGTGGAAGCTGGAAGTAATGTACCCACAGCTGGGCACCAAAGCAGCAGGCGGGGTGGGTATGGGTACGCTTACACGCTTGGGTACTGCTTTGAGCTTGGTTCAGAGATGGAGGGTCCTAAGGAGGACATCTCTAAGTGTTAGAGGCACTTCGTGATCTAGTTTCTCGTGTGTTTTCCTTAGAATAACTTTTAAATATGGAAGACTTTTCTGTTTTACAGTTGCACATCACCTTGTACAGTAGTGTCATCTGTGCTCCCAGGCTCTAGCATGGTCCAAAAAATTAATAACTCTTATACATTTTGGAAGTCTTATTATGCAATTGAATAGCATAGCACTGTAATGAAATCTTTATGGGAAAGTGATGAGAGTGGGTTTGTGTGTCAATTACAGGGTCTGCAAGTAGGAGAGACACCAGCTACTGGTTTTATTGCTGACAATATACTTGTGTTCATGTTTATTCCTAGATTACAATGTGTGAATAGCATCCCAGTAAACAGTCAGGCAAATAGTTATTTATCAAGTATTTAAAAGTGAAAGGTCTTGTAATTTTCCTTAGTAATGACTGTGATTTCTTCCAGCTGGATTAATGGCTCCCATTTCTCCCTGTGAAGAACAAGAAGTGTTTTGGTTTCTACGTGGAGAGTTATTGTCTCCCATAATAATACAGACCAGAGGATTATTCTCCTTCCTGGCCTGAGATGGGGGAAAGGTTGAAATGTGCAAAACCTCAATTAATACCTTGTAAAGCCCTTTAATATTCTTTTGTCGTTCCTGTTGGAGTGGTCCAGGAGTTGCAGCTGGCATCAGCCCAGCAGCAGCCTGCCTCAGAGCTGCTTTTGTTTCAGTTTCTGAGGCAATCAGTGGGTCTTATGATGGAATTGCCTTGAAAGGTCACTTTTAATGACATTTCTGATGTGTTCCTCTGTCCCCAGCTGGGCAGTCCTGGTGGAACAGGTTGCCCACAGCTTAGCAGCTGAGTTGCTACAGCAGGCAACTTCAAAAAAATACTCTAGAGCAGCTGCTGGCAGGCCAAAGGGGCAAAAAAATAGAACAAAGTGTTGTATTCTGTGCCCAGTCACTGCTCCTGGTACCCTGAGGTAGTGGAGAAAGCAAGATCAAAGCGTCAGTAATCCCTTGGTAGTGAGCCCACCTGTGTCCCTGGGTGGCAAAGGGATTGCTTTGGTGCCGAAGGGGCTGTCATTGAAGGGCTGTGCCAGGCCCTCCCTGCGCACGATGGCCAGGGGCCTCAGCAGCTGGAGGTTTCTCTTTTCTCACCCTTTCTGGGACTGACCACCTTCCTGCTCCCAGAGCTGTGCTGGCAGTGCTGGTCCAGCCATAGCGTGCTGACTCTGACTGCAGGGTGGCAAATCCCTGGAGCCGTTTTTGATGCCTGTCTTAGGTTCGTGCCTTCCTTTACCTCAGCGAGTGGGACGGATGTCGTTCAGTTTTGTCTCTGGGTTGGAGAAGACTGAAGGTAGCCGTGAGGTCAAGCCCAAAGAGCCCTGTGTTCAGATCCTAGCGGTGCCACAGGCTTTGAAGACCCGTTCCCCATGGTGCGTGTCCAGATCCTGTAAGCTGTTGAACTGCCGGATTCCTGGAGGTCTGTGGGAGCTGAACTGAGCTGTCATCTCGTAGCACAACAAGCAGAGTTAACGTCCAGGCATGCTCTCTGCGACCTCTGCTTCCTTTCCCAACCCCTGCCACCTCTTGGTCCTCTCTCTTCAAGTCCCAGGAGCGTGCAGGGTTTAACGGCTAGGATCTAACCCAGGAGCAGGTCCTGTGGCTGGCTCAACACCAGTGCAGAGGGGATTTATTTTCCAGGGTGTGTGGTTTTTATGCTACACCTCTGAAAATCCTGCGTGCTTGAGGTCTGCCTGATGTTTCTCACGACAGCACATGTGCTGGGGGTGGACCCTGATGGCACAAGAGTGCAGCGGGGTGACAGGAGGAGGGGGACTGTGCCGGGAGCCAGCGCTGCAGAGTGCAGGAGAAATGGTGCTGGGGACAGAGCCGGCTCTCTGGATGCTGTTTGAAAATAAATAGGCTGTGTGATTGTGTTAATCTGAACCCAGCCCTCGTGGTTGCAGGGGGAGCTCTGAGGGGAGTTCTGGCTAATTGCTGCGTGAAGACACAGAGTTTATTCTGTTGAAGAAGATCCATGGATGTAGAGTAATGTCTGAGTGCTGCAGGATGTGCCCATTGTTGCTGAGGGCTCTAGCTGTGGCTGGATGGTGTGTTTGGGATGTCCTAAGTTGTGATGATGCTGTAGAAAGGCTTTTGTTTTTTCCTGAGCTGCTTTTCCCCTTTTCCCACCCCACTCCTTTCCAATCTGATCAGCGAACACTTCTAAATATTAATAATGTGGGATTTGTCTCTATCCACATGACTGCCGCTGGTTTGAAAGGCATGTGACAGTGCAGGGGGGGAAACGGGGTTAATCTCCTCCTGCGCTGGCAGAACAAGGCTGGGCAGGAGGTGTTACAGCACAAGAATTTATTCTTATTTCTGAATGTGCCTTTTCCACTGTATTTGCAGTCTGTGGAGAAGGAAGAGCAACAGTTTCCCTTCCTGCTTCAGATGCTGATTCACTGTCAGGACGGGGACGTGCATGCACTGGTTCTGTGCAAGTGGGATTTCAGGTCACTGAGGCCTCTGGGCTTAACAAATAACTCCACAGCCCTTTCCTCGCCGCCAGCCCAGCAGCAGTCTAGCTGAGTTTGCAGCTCCTGGGGCTTCTCCATCCTCATCCAGAGCCCTGCAGCCAGTTTCCACGTGGAGGTTGCAGAGTTACTACCCCGGCTGAATGCTTTGGTGCCTGACTCCCTCTGCAACAGCCGTTGGCTTGCATGGGTAGGAGGCAAGCAGCAATTAGCCTGACTTGTAACCAGGGCAGATCCTGTGAGCCACGAGGCTTTCAGCCTCTCATTGTCACGTGCTCCAGACCAGGGACAAGCCTGCCCACCCGTGCTGGCAGCAGATGAAGCCAGAGGGAGGGATGGAGGAGCGTGCCTTCGGGGCTAGGGTCACCCTGCCTCTGTGCCCAGAGACCTGCAGGGCTCCCGACGTGCTCACAGGCTTGTGCTCCAAGGGAGCAAAATGGTTAGCTTGGCAAACCGGGGCAACCTCATGAAGGGCTACTGAGAGCGTGCAAAGCTGTTGCTGGAGGCAGGTCATTGTAAATGAGGGGGCTGAAGTGGCTGGGGTTTTCTAACAATTAATTATTGAGTGGTTTTCTAGAGATTCTTTCTCATGTTTGTAATTCATTCCCTGCTGTAGGTGCCATATTGATTTATAATTTTTTGAAGTTCAATATTTTGCACCCTCAGGGCCTCAAACAGAAAGTAACTAGAAAACGAGAGCAAATTTCTGCGTTCTGCTTTGTCAGAGCTTTCTCTCCCGTTCCCCATCCCCGGCGCCAGTTTCCGTGCTCTGGTTTGGGTTGCAGATGTTGCCAAGCCCGTGTGCCGTGGGTGGCAGAACAGCTGTGGCAGAAGAGCTGCCTCACTGACCAACAAATGAGGAAATTAAGAGCCTGGAATTGCCCCCGGTGACCCGAGCAGAGCATTTAGTAGCTGCTAGTGAGGCAGGCCTGTTTGAATGAATAAGCATTCCTGTTTGTTTGAAGAAAAAAACCACAACCCTCCTCCCCCCGCTCTAATTAGCTACTCTTTTCCTTTTTTCTGCCATGAATATAGAGGGTTTGTCACCAGAATGAAATCTTAACAAGATGCAAGTTCTTCAGGTTGCAGCGGAGGGAGGGGATCTCTGTGCAGGTGGTATGGGGACTCCTGTACCTGTTTTCTGTGTTTCCTTGCTGGATCTTTGGTTTTGCTGTTGGGAGTACAGCTCTTCCTTACCCTCTGCTTTGTCTCTTTTCTTCTAACAGAGTGACTAAAGAAGTGGACTCGACCTCAAAAGAAGCTAAATCTTTTCTGAAGCAGCAAGAGAAATGGCAGTCGGCAGCTCCAGCTTCCCTCCCGACCGTCTCTGGGTGAGTCTGTGGTTTCCCTGCCCAGGTACAGATCCTAAGTGAGAAAGACAGCACTCAAGCCGATAATACTGGCTCTGCAGTATTTAAGCTAATGGCTATTTGATTTCTGCAGGATTTCAGTGGGAGCAAGACTAGGCCTGGAAGGATTTGGGGTGGAGGGGAAGCGGGGGAATCAACCCATGAGTCCCAGTGACTCACTTTGTACATTCAGGCTTGAATTTCTCAATCCTCATAAATCATTCATCCTAGTAAGGAACTATTGTTTTGATTAGCTTGAGCAGCCTGATGAAACTGCAGGTAGCCAAGGAACATGCCTGAGATTGCCTGCAGTTCCTTTGGAAGGTGCTTCTCAGGACCATGAAAAGCCATGACAAGCTGGGCCTCTTACCAGCTTTCGGGGAGCATTTAAATGAGAGATGCTTTTGACTCGTTGTTCTCTAGTATCATTTCAGTGTGGATTTGTCACTTTCTGTTCAAGCTCTACCACCTAATTCTGAGATTATCATAATGCTTGTCAAAGATACTAAGAGGTCAGGTCCCCTGTGCATCTGATGTGCCCACTCTGTGGTTCTTGATGAGCTTGGGAGATCACCCGCTCCTCGGGAATAGAGGAGATGCTTCTGTGTTCCAGCAATGATTTTTATTTAAGGAAGTCATTTGCATTTTTATTTGAAAGACATAAGCTGCGTACGATTTGGTCACATAGAAACAAGACCCATCAAATAAATATGTTGTCCTTCCCATCTGCTGAAGGGCAATTCTCCAGTGTGAGTTAAGGCTGCCTTTTCCTGGGATAGGCTGTATTCAGTTGCTGCAGCTGGATTGTCACTCCTTTTTCCAGCTAAGTGTTGCATAGCTTGCAGTTAGATGAGGGTAGTGAAGGCATAGTTTGTGTGTGTGTGTGACTCCTGACAGCTGCTGTTCCCTGAGATGAATGAATGCATAGATGAGCGTGGTCTTGTTGCTGTTGTTCACTCTGCACAAGGGTTCATCCCTGCAGAGCTCGTTAATTGTAACCTAAGTGTTGTGTGCAGGGCTTTGTGCTGGAAAAACTTGCCTTGAGTTGGACTGGCGTTCTTTGTTCAGTCTGGGCGGCCGCAGAGATGGTTCTGGTGGCAGCTGGAGCTAGGGCAGCTCCTTGCCGTGCACACTGTTGGTGGTCCTGTGTCTTCAAACCTGTCTTCTAGTTCCCCCAGCAAATGCTGTGCTGCTCTGAGTGCAAGCAGCTTTGGTAGCCCACTGGGAAAGCCCCACGGGCTGCTCGCCTTCCTGCTTGCTGGGATCCGTGTTTCCTCCTGTACCTTGCTGGCCCGGGGGAGGAGGTGGATGGCCAGTGGACCTGCATCTAGTCATTCCCGAGGTGCATGGTTGCTTGTGCTGGAGCTCTGATCACTCAGGAGAAATAGAGTCCAGTTTGAGTTAATTCTGCTTAAAGTGAAGAATCCACATCAAATATGGAAAAAATGGAATAAAAATCAATATCAGAAATAATGAGTTCAAGGACTCCTTTAACTTTTCACTAGTGTGATTATTTTGGAAGCAGCTTAATTAGGTCGTCGTTCAGCTTGCTGTTGTGTGATGCCCTGCTGACAGTTGCCTGTCCAGAATGTGGGGTAGCCTGGCTGTGGGGAAGGGAGGAGAAAAATACCCTGGGCTTTTATGTCTTGCCTTCCTTCAGAGCAGCAAACCCTGCTGCAGTGCAGCCCTGCGTGCCTTCCCTTTGACAACCTGCTGCGGAATATCCTGGTTGTGTGCAGTGACACTACGGCAGAGGTGTAGCAGTGGTGTTTAGATCAATGTGTGGAACAACCCAGTGCTCTTGAGGGTTTAGCAGGAGACTGTCTAGGTCAGCCTGGCCAGTGTGTGCCCTCTGGGCTGAGAGTGCTCCAGGGAGTTTTCTACCTTGGGATGGTCCCTGAGACTGCCACCAAACACGCTTGCCTTTGGGCTTAGGAGGGTGCTTCCAGCTGGGAAGTCAGCCAGGGTATTTTCAGGTGAGAAGATCGCTAACAGGTTTGCAGTGTTCCTTAAAGCCAGAGGCAAGTCCTTTATGTTAAGAAAATCATAAAGGTCAGGTTTTAGACTTGGAGCCAAGCTATTGTCCAAGCCCTTCTTCGCTGGAGCAAGGAGCCACAAGCCTTTGTGACATGCCAGAGCAGCACCTGGGGACCAATGGAGCCTGGTGTAGCCTGATGCTTCTTTGCTGGTGCCCTTGGACTACTTAAAATACAAATTTTGGGGGAGAGGGTGCATTTCTCCCTTGTGTGTTACAGGAGAGCCCCAGTCTGTGTCAGGATCCCTAGAAGGCACTGAAAAACATGAAATTCAGGATCCTAGACATGCCCGTGGACACCCACTGTGCCATGAGCCATTGTCAGCCCCCAGGAGCTTTCTCAGCTATTTAAAAAAATAAAATTAAAAGAAAAAGAGCCTTGCCCTGTGCACAGGGGATTTGAGCAGCTAAGAGTGGCCTCTCCATCTGGCCTTTCTTTCTTCACCTTGCAAGCAGCTTGCATTATTTCTGGATGCAACCAGCCTACCGTGAATTTATTTAATTTCCCTTCTCTAAACAGGCAGAAGTAATCCAGGAAAGCAGTGGTCTCAAAACCAAACATCCGGTTCCACATCTCCACGCTACAAACCCTTGCAGCCTAACTGGTCCAGGGGAAGGGATGTTTGGGGCTGAAAGTGCATTTCCTGAATGTGTTTAACATCCATACCGGATGTGCTATAAAAAGCTCGATTTGTGCTTGTAAGGGACATGGGGGTGGTTGGAGGAGAATAACTTAAACACTCGGCTGTAATTAAAGCCAGGAGTACAAAACATCCCACCCAGTTCTCTCTGCAGGGTTTGCTAGAAAGGTCAGAAGCCCTTGGTTCCCAGGGATGTGATGGTTTCCCAGCCTTCCCATTATTCCCATCGTGTCCCCCTGTGACACCCAGCAAGGCAGTGGTCTGTTGGCAGTGAGTAGCGGTTGGTTGGAGGGGTTTGGGTTGGTGCTCTCTTCCAGCAATGTTTCCATAGCGCTCGTAGGTTGTGTTGGGCTCTCACTGATGCTGTCACAGGTATCAGATGTGATGAGCGGATCCACTGATCCCTTCTAATTTGCTCTCACAAAAAGCGGGTGTAAGGTTCCCGGCATTCAGAAACAGCCCTCCACCCACCCCGCAAAGCCTCTTGCCTGTCGGGGTGTTTTGGGACCCTATCCTTACTGGGCTCCTGGGCCTTTGGGAGCAGCAAGAGTAGCTCCTGGCTGTAAATGTAAATGACCTGATGGAGGGGTCAGTCAGCTCTGTGGGCATTGCTGGACCTCTGAGAGCTGCTTTCTGCCCCCTCTCCAGGTCAGGCGGGACCTATGAGGTGGGTCCATCATCCTCTGCACTAGTAATCCTGGTTTGCAACACCACTCCATACTCAAAGGATGATGTTAAAGCAAATGAAATCCTCCACGCAGCCTACTACAGGATGACTGTCTTGCGGGTACTGGTGCACGTGGGACTTGAGACACAACAGGGGGGTTGAGCTACAGGCTGGGAAATACCTGCACAGACCCAGGCCCTCGGCGTGAGCGGCTGCAATCTGCCCATCAGTCCTTGCCGCTTGTCAAAGCACAGCGGCGTTGCACAGGGAATGCTGCTGCTGTGGCAGGCTTGAAAATAAGAAAAAAAAATGGTTGGTGGATCTTATTTGAGGATCTCCTCTAGGCAGCTGTCTGTCTCCTCTAGGCAGCTGTCTCTACACAGCCTGAACAAGAGCCAGGAAGAAAAAGGGAGGTTTTTCACTGGCTTTGTTCTTGCCTTTGCTTATTACCAAAACCATTTGTAATTAAACGTGGACTTGCTCACTCAGCCCAGCTGTTGCCTTTCTGTTTGATCCTGCCTGAAATTATAGTGGTGGCTGTGTGACCTCCTGGGCCTTTTCATGCCTTGTAGGCTGGTATAAACAGAGTAAAATTTGCCTTTGA